TTTCAGTGCAAAAAGAAGTTTGTGATAGTCAATGAGATGACAGCATTCAAAAGATTCATTCAAAGATGAACTGTTTAAACAACTGTTCCATCATTAGAAAGACAATTACAATGCTACAAAACAACCAATGCTTAAATCTTGCGCTTACTCTCCTATAACAACTGGTGTTTTTACCAATTTCAGCACGTGGGGAATAGCAGAAGCAAACATTATCTGCTAACACAATCCTAACACACAATCCTAAACCCACAGAACTGTTGTTAATGAAGAATTAAGATTGCACAGTAGTAGAAACAGAGCCAGTCAAGCAGACAGACCTTCAAATGCCACAAAATGAAAGTTGTTTAATCACTGCAAAACAGAAAGTATGTATTTTGTGAATCATTACATTCTAATACACCTTTCTTTCACACACTGAAATACAAACTAATAGGGCTGCAGTCTGCTGGAAAGCTCTTATATTAACCACAAGTGGAAGATGACATATTCAGACAGGCCCAGTTAAAGTGAATACTGTTTCATGGTGGTTTTTGATAAATAAAGTTGAATGACAGTCAAAAGGAGGGAACAATGCACTAAATGTCCTAGACCTGTCTACACATACAAACAATTACATGAGTTTTTGCTTCCAAAGACAAATCTTACACATTTTTTTCCAATTTGATATATTTAACAAGAAAAAAAAAATAATACTGACATAATCGTTATCACTTCCTGCCACTTCAGCAAACGACAACACTTCTCATTAATTTGACAAATCATTTATCTTGCATAAAATGACAACAAACTCAGAATTCCGCAGCAACAGCAGCCAGTTCCAGATGGCCGTACCGGTTTACTCTCAGGGCGTAGCTCTCTTTGAACAATGAGCTGATCGTAAGGTAAATAAAAGAAATGTTCCAATCCACTGGACTGAATAGAAATGTGCAAAAAAAAGTCAAATACTTGCACAAAAAGCCTCTGTTGTAAATAAAACATCCAATGGAAACAGATGCTTATTTCCTCTTTATATGTACTTGGCATCACTTTATTAATTGTGCTGGCACTAGATAGTCTATAACTAGCTTAGATACACAAGTACTGATGAAGTCTATTGAATAACAGATAAAACTATAGTAATGTATGCAGGTTAACACAAAGCGTTCTCAGTTACTTCCATAGTAGTAGCTATAGGGCCATGGCCCTTTCTTCACAGTAAAGATCTAACCCTGAGAGATACTGAGAAGTCGTCTTAAAATCACTGAACCTTGACACCAGCAAAGGCTATGGAAAACTTAAGTCTAAAAAAGCTTAGGAAAAAAACAACATTTTAATGACATGAACTTGAAACTGGCATGGGGGAACTGGCTGTGCATAAAACACCTCAATGAAGAGCCAGAAGTTCAAGGTATTTCAGATGTGATCCCTACTCCTTCACATTCAGCAACACCAGCTACTTCAAACTGCAAACTAAAGCAGAGCTCCTCAACAGCACAAGCCTGACACTGCTCACCTTACACAACTCTGCTCAGAAAGCCAGAATGCTGACCTCTGCTAAGTAATGCAGAAGTGGCAGGCATAAGGATAAATTAAATGCCAAAATTGTGAGGTTAAATTGAAGACAATAACTGACCATGTTTGTGAATATCAATAATGTCAACTACAGAACATAAAGTATAAATGTAAACTCATTCCTTTAATGTTTGTTATAAAATTCTTGTGTTAGGGTACTAACATCAATACAAAAATAAATAAATAAGTGAATTCTGAAGATTATATTTACTAAGTACAAGTGAATTGTATTGGACAACATAGTGAGAACAGCAGATCACTGGCAGGGTTTAAACAGACTTGAGGTACAAAAGAAGAGAAGGCAGAAGATACAGAAGTAACACAGAAAGGCAAAATTGAGACAAGAAAGCAAAGAGAAGAAAAAGCAGCTGAAAATATGAATAGCCCCTTTGACAGGCTCAGCCACTTGCCCTAACACACAGAAAATCCAAGACAAACTTGAGAACAAGGAGCAAAAAAAGGAAATGGAATGATATAATGTCTTTTTCTTCCAAAATATCTGCAAACTTTTTATTTTGGAAGATACTGAGTACCCACTCTCTCTTCCTCTTTCAGCCTCCAGCAAAATGTCATGATTTCATACTTGGTTTCTGAAGGCAGTAAGCCCTTTCAATGATGAATGACTTCACGCTTTAAGAAATACCATTCTCATTTCAGGGCAGTTAGAAAACCAGAAAACTTTGCCACAGTTTCATCTAAAGATCCAAAATAGTTTGCGAATTTCTACACCTTTAAGATAAATCAATATTTGCAATCGAGTTCCTTTAGTCTAGACAAGAGAGGAAATGATAGCAATAGGTAAAACACATGGCAAAACATATAATAAACACAGTAAACTTTACATATTACAAGTGATGGCAATAGCTAAAACATACAGTTTTTATATATTATATGTAAATGCTTATTATACCAGTTTTCTCTCCATCCCAGATGCATCTAGCCATTAAACATGCAAACTGTATTATCCATCCTTCATCTTTAAATTAAATAGTCTCAAAATTGAAACATTTTAAGTGCAAATCATCTTGTTGAAAAAAATTACCCTAGCATCTTCAGTAATTGTACTGCTCTTTTACATACTGGTAATATGGCAACAAACGAGTCAACAACTAAAGATACAGTGCTGCAACAGTAGCATTGTTAGTGGGCAACAGCTGTGCAAAATACTCAAGACAAAGGAGCAATTGATCAGCTGGTACTTTTAGATATCAAGATTAAAAATCAATCTCTGCAATTTGGCTGGGTTTTAAAGCAAAGGGCTCATCTTCTGCGACAGCCCATAACCTGCATCCCATGACAGAAGTGCAGGAAAAAGCGGCGCACTCCACCTAAATCCAACCCCACGCAAGTAACTTCAGGCTCTCCAAAGTTTTTCTAACAGTACATCAGAGGTAACAATGCAAACGTGTTTTTACAGATTTTCTAACGCTTATACAGGACACTATCCTTAAACGTTCAGTAGGGAGGTTTGCGTATGACAGCTTTCCTTACCTTTAAAAACAACGGAAACGATCGGATCTGGCTTCCCAAACTTGGTTTTGGGGATATTGGACGCGGACTCTACGATCACCCGAAGCATCGCTCCGAGCCGTCACTGAACGCCGCCTGCCCGCAGAGCCACGTAAGGAAGCCGCGGGCTCCCAGGCGCAGCTCGGGGCGGCAGCGCGAGCAGGAAGAGGCGGCAGGGAATGGCACGGCACGGCCGGAGCTCGGGGTGGGTCTATGACGAACCGCTCCCGAAGGCTATGACAAATTCAATGCCTGTAAATTGACACCAAGCGCCGCGTTTTTGCACAAAAGGAGCTCTAACCGGTGAGATCCAGCGACAGAAAAGGCAGATTTGTCGGTGCGCATCAGTAACCGAGGCAAGCACGAGCAACATATTCAAGGCAACTTCAGGATGCACCGCATCTGTCTCTCGATACACCAAGGCACTGGTAGCTTTCATGGTAGCCTTTTTTCCGTTCCATTTTAGAACTTCGCAGTCCCGCCGCACGGCCCCGCACGCGCGCCCCCTGCTGCCAGCTGCGGGACCTCCGCGCGCCGGTCACACAACAGCTGCGCTTGGAAGGGACCCACCGGCAGCACGCAGCGCACCTGCTGCCTCCACACACGGCCACCCAAAATCACAGCGCGCGTTGTGCAGACGATTCCTGAACTTTGCTAAGGCTGTGCCAAACTACTGCCTTCACTGCATTTCATGCAATGTATTTAGTAGGTGTCTCGAAAAGATGTGACCAGAAGTCATAAGTAAAACTGGACAAGAATTAAGCAAATATGTGCAATAAACAACCAAGACAATGAAACCCTGTTTATTGGAGGCCTATATTTTAAACACAAACACGTGCAGTAAACTCCACTAAAAAAAATCTTACTGAAAATTGCATGGCAAGAACAAGAACTCTTTGCTCCAAGTTACCCAATCCTCAGCTTTACCACGGTTTTCCTCAGCTATGAGCCAGGTGTAAAAAAGTGGTTCACGCTACTTCTGCAAAATCTATGTTTTAAGTGGAGATGAGGGCAGCCAACAAAACAGCACAGAATGAGTCCTCCATGAAAGTCAACCGACTTTTTATGTGGGGACCCACAGGAACTACCCATAACTTATTGTTTTGAAGCTGATATGAAACTTGCTTCCTTTTTCAGATGAATCACAGAATAGAATCACAGCGTCACTAAGGTCGGAAACCTCTAAGATCACCAAGTCCAACCATCAGTCCCCCAACCCCACGCACCCACTGACCACGTCCATCAGTGCCACACCTACACGTTTCTTGGACACCTCCATGGACAGTGACCCCACCACCTCCCTAAGCAGCACGTTCCAGTGCATCACCACTATTTCTGAGGAGAAATGTTTCTTAACATCCAACCTGAACCATCCTTGGTGCAATTTGAAGCCATTACCTTCTCTCCTATTCTGCCACGTGGAAGAAGATACCGACCCACCCTGCCTCCACCACAGCTTCTTTTCAGGCGCTTACAGAGAGAAGATGGCTAGATTTTAGGTAGCGCAGAGGAATCCAAGGGAAAAGAAGCAATCCAACACAGAACGTTCAGGGGAGGTGATGAGAACAGAACAGCTATAGCCTTGACTGGACTCAAACGACTCAGATAAGCACTACTCTAAACCTTTTAGCTCCCCTGGCTGCCACTTACCTTCCTGTCTGAATGCCTCACACGGAGCAGGACAGCCACGCTTAACAAACAACACGTGGAGTGCACACCTGTCACCAGCCCACGTTGTAAAACCACCTTCTAATTGCAAACTAAAAAATCCCGTTAAGCAAAAATTAATTATGACCGTATACAAGAGAAACAACCAGCAGCGTGCCCCATTCGGCTCAGCTCCAGGTGTGCTGGTACAGCCAAATGAAGCCTCGCCTCGCTGTGGCCAGGTGTGAGCGCGAGGGCTGGGGCAACACAACGAGGTGAGCAGAAGGAAGGCCCCGCCGTATTGGCCAGGCAGCTCTGCCACCGCCGCGGCAGCCAATGGGGAGCCTCCTCTCAAGCCCCCAGCAGCGCATCACCAGCCGTTAACGGCCACCTGGCCCAGGGCAGCACGTGCGCCTCAGCCCCGCCCCCTCGCCCCGCCCCCGGAGAAGCGCTGGTCAACCCCCGCTCTATTTTAACCCTCGGGGGATGCCGTAGCTCTCGCTTCACTTGCAGGTGGTGAGGGCGGAAGTGACGATGGTGCAGCCGCGGCATTCAAACTCCCGGAAGCGAAGTAGGGACTGAGCGGGGCGGCCGCTGCCCTGTGCCGCCCGGGTTTGCGGGCCGCCTAGTTCTGCCGCAGGGGAACGGTGCGCGCTGCCGGGTGTGGGGTGCTGGGGGAGCTGAGAGCCTATGTCGTCTGAGCTCCCTTAGAGTTGCGGGAGAGGCCCTGTCCTGCTAGGGAAAAAGGCGTTTCTGCGCGTTTGTCTGCGTGGGCGCTGGAAAATGAATTCCAAGACGACCAAGGGCGTCATTATTGGCAAATGGGGCTTAAAGTCCGGTAGCTCCAGGCCAGAGAGCGATCTCGAGAAGTACAAGCAGGAGAACGCAGCCCTGAGGAAATCCCTGGAGGAAATCACCAAAGGGAAGGGCCGAGCAGAGGATCCCGAGCGGAGCCGGCTGCTGGAGGTGAGGGGATGCGCTGTGACGCTTCTGTCCTCAATTATTTCCCGTGATAAATGAGCAGGTGAAGTTGCTTGGTAAGGCTGTTAAATATGAAGGCTCGAGGCCGGAGCAGTGCTGAGTCTGTTCGGTCCTGTCCTGGTATGTCCAGCTGACCCGAATGCATCGGGTCCTTTGCATGAGCGAGGCTGCCAAGCACCTTCTCATCCATGGGTAAATAAAACTAACTAATTCCTCGTGTTGTTATTTTATGCCCATTTCAGAGCAAAAACTAAAATATTGTAACTTCCGGGCCTTGTAGTCTGTTAAAGGTAAACCTGTGGCTGCAGAAAAAGAAGTTATGTTTGATGTGTGATGCTGTTAGGCTTTCCAAAAACACCGGGGAACTAAGTGGGCTCTCTCAAGGGATATACTTAACAGAGCAGGCACAGTATGTCTGGGCTTCATAATGGTTTTGCTGTGTCTGTGCTGTAGTGGCAGTTCTGATGCTAGTCTAAGTACCAGTCATGGCTTATTGCCATGGTGAATTCCTATTGTGTATTTCTTGTGTGTGGTGGAGTATGCTGTTTGCTGAATGTTAGTTACTTAATAGCTGGCTATTAGTTTACAGGACAATTACGTGGACAGTTACAGGTGTGCTTAGGTATATACCATTAGGCATCAATGTTCTAGCTTCAGTGAGTGTTGGGTGTGGTCACTGTGGTCATAAACCACTCCCTAACTGGGGTCTTATAAAATGTGAATGCTTCAAGTTTCTCTGCCACTTGCAAATGACTTGATAGCCACTTGTAGGATTTCAGTTTTGATATTTCTTTTGGGGAGTTACTTGCTGTTGTAACAATGTCTGTGATTCTGTGAAGTTTAGCTCTGATGTATCTCAAAATTCCAATGTTATTCAAGAATTCACTGTGCTGGAAGCCTACCTAAAAGTCACTGTGGGGGGGGAGAAAGCAAAATGTCCTTTAATAGCATTTAAACTAAAATGCTAGATACTTACGAAAAAAACAGGATTTTTCTCCTGAAAGCTCTGTTAGACTCTTCTGTAGCTTGAGTAATTGCTACTTAACTTAAACAAAAAGTTCAACTGCTCCTCAAAAACTGCTAAATGTCTTACTGACGCTAAAAGAAGTATTAACTTCTCTTTCAGAACTGAAAATGTTCTAGAGTACTTACAATGCTTATGCTCTAAGGCTCATATACCATAGTGATTTGTATTCATAGGCAAAGCTGCTTACCAAGTGTGTGAAATGTAGCTCTCTGCATTATTTTCTTGTTTCATCTGCTGTAGACTGTTCTTACAGTCATTTGAAATATTTCAGGTGATTGCTGTAGCATTGTCTGTTTTACTAAAACAGTAATGTTCTCAGGTAACTAAAGGTGAAGAGAACACTTCAAAGTGAGTATCTTAAACTGCTGTGCATTTGCTAGTGTTATTGCTTTATATACAGATTTTTACTTATTTGTGCCAATTCTTTGTTTCATTCAGAAAATTCTTTGTCTTGAAAAAGAAAAAGAAAAATACAACCATCTTCTTGGAGAGAAGGACAAAGAAATCCAAAACCTAAGAGACAGACTTAAGTCCAAAAACAAGAACAGTGAAGTCTCCTTATTACATAGTCAACTAGAAGAAAAAACGAAGGAAGCAGAAAGGAGAGAACAATTACTTAGTTCTCTGTCTGAAGAAATGAACCAATTAAAATGTAATTTATCCACTATTACTGCAAAATGTTCTGAGATTGAAAACAGAACTGGTAGTTCTCAGGCATCCCAGGTAAGTGCTAAAGAAATACAGTAATTGTCTACAGGTTAGACTTGGAATTTTCATCCACTGAGCACCTTTATCTGTTATAAAATGCAATTTTTAATCTCACAAGTCTTCATAATAATAAGATTTCAGCACACAACACAGCAGGTGGCATCCAGACTGAACACTAAAACAGTCAGGAAGTACAACTTCTGGTAGCATGGTGGGGAAGAATTCTTTGCTGCCAGGACCTCTTTTCCTGCTCTTGTGCAGGCAGGTGTGACTGATGGTCAGCCCGTACCATACCTGCTATTGCTTTAGCAGACAGCATAGCCTTCATGGATTTGTATGCTCAGTGAGTAAGCAGAGTGGGAAGGCAGCAGCAATCGACGTGGGGCCTGAAAGGAATGCTAAACTCCTCACCTACTTAACCAAGGGTAAATGGAGAGAATACCTTTCTCCTCTCTAATTTTTCAAATCTTCATTTATTCCTTGGTTAACATGGCATAATGCATTATAAATACTTCAGTGTAACAGAAGATAGAGTAATTTTTTCATTTAAGCTCGTTAATAGCTGTGGTGTCAGGCATTTTGTTACTTTTATAAATGCATTCTGTTAGCTTCGGTTGCTTTTTCACCTATTATAATGCTCTATGGAAAATTCAGTGTTGTCTCAGTAGGGGGCACATGGGATTCAGTACTTGAAAGCAGCTCCTTTCAAGTCTCTTTCAAGTTTGCAACCTGTAGATGGTGCTAGTTCTCCAAGCTATATAATGAAGCTGAGCAATTTCTAGAAATTCAGCTTTTATCAAATATGTTAAGTTGGTGGTTTATTTAATCTGTTCATATTCAATTATAATACTACACTATTCAGTGGGATATGAACGTATTACATCTAGTGTTATGTCTAATTTCAAAGCACTGAAAAGTGTTAGAGAAAATTTTAAACTTGCATTCATTCAGCATGGTTTTTATGCTGTCCCTGTCAATGGATTTATTTGTCTAGTAATCACTACAGGAATTTGTAGCACAGCAATAGCAGAACTGCAACTCTGAACAATAAGTTGCTTTGTGTGGACTTATTGCATCTAGCATAGTATGCTACAGGCAGCACAAAGTTACAGTTCAGTGACAGAACACAATATTCTAATATACATAATATTCTGACTCTGCAGAAAGGTTTAGTGTATACTAAGATAATAGGTCACTTTAAAAAAAGAAAAAGTATCCTGTAGCTTGCAGAATCCTTGATTTTTGAAGGATGATGACCACCACTTCCTTTCTGTACTGAGTCTTCAGTTCTTAGTTAAGGAGTTTTAAGCAGGAAGTGTATCTTTCAATCTCAGGTACAGAATAGGAGGATTAAGGAGTAATTACTACTTACCTCAGCAGTGAGGTAAGTGTTCAGCAGGTTTTTTTGTAATACTAGAAATTACACTCTTATTTTAGAATAACTTGCTTGCAACTGGTAATAAAAGAAGCCTGAGGGAAGGCATTCTGGACTGTTATAAATTCTGATTGCCAGATTTTCTTGTTTAAAATCAGCACTTCTAAATTTTTACTGATATATTAGTGGAGGACAACAATGCTTTTAGACTTTCTTGCTGAATGTTTTGGGTAACTTGAGAACAAATTGAGCGGTGTTTCTTAAAACTGCTAGGTGATGCACAAGCAGCAGGTGTACTCTGAAGTGGAATGAACAGCTGTATGACAACTTGAAGTGGTGCAGTTTTCACTGATGCACAAGTTTTATATTTACAGAAATAAGAATCTGAACAGCTGTGGTGAATCTAAATCCTATTAGAAAGAACTGAGCTTTGATAACTGTGTCCAACTTTAAAGTCTCTTGTGTTTTTCACCCATGAAACTTGTTCTAAATCACATTCTGCAAAAACAGGAATACTTTAGCTAAATCCAAGTATGTTTTTCTAATCTCCATTTGTGTCCTTACAAGTTTTCTTATCTACACTACTTTGAAAAGCTTTCTGTTGTACAGTGAATAAAAAAACATTATGAATGAAGTTTAAATGTTTAACAGATTTTCAGTTCTAAGTGGGGCAAAAGAACTGTGAAACTCACACTTCAAGTGCTCTATTGTGGATCAGGCCTTGGAAAACTTGTATGTCCTTATGGTTCTGAACAGGCATCCTTTTCCAAGTGTTTATAATCCTATGGTTATCTCAAAGAAGTTTAAGTTCTCTGGCTTCCCCCAACAACTCCTACAGCTCTGTTTTATTGTCAAACTGGTATCATGATGATATGAAAATAAAAAAAACTTACATTTTCTCTTTTAAATAAAAACTGTAGATGCTTGAATTCTTCAGAAGCTTTTCTGTTACCCTTCAGGTCTGTCAAGATGAGTTCAACCAAAAGTGTTGTTTTTATGAAATGTTTTAATGGAACTGTTATTCAGTGAACTAAATTGAGATGTTCTATATTTTGCAGGAGATTTTTAAAAATCTATGTAATGTTTTCCCATGTAATTCCTTCTAAAAATAGAACATAGATTTCTTTTTTTAATTCAAGTGTCAGATAAATGCATCTTAAATTTTAAACTACTCTTACGCTAACCCTGAGATTAATAATTATACAGAACTAGATATACTCTTCTATTTTAAAGAATGCTAACTGATTGCTCCTTGTCTGTAGGAAACTGTAATAAACAGCCCTGGATCTTCAACTAATCTTAGTGAAGTTGAAAAACAGCTAAAAGATGTAAGTTCTCCTGTACAACAGTCCATGTAAAATCATGTGTCATGTATAAGAATGTAGACTATCACCATATATGTTTTTGGGTAGAATGGGATCTTGGAGGGTATGATAGAGGATACTATCAGATAAAGCTAAGAAGCTATCTGACATCTGACTACAAGTTTGTAGTGTTAGCTTAGTCCACTGTATTTGACAAAATGAAAGGTTAATTTCATTATCTCAGGCATGACTCATCAAATTTTTCAGTGATTTCCCTTTTCCAGTAAACAAGCCAATCAGAATTTAATATTGCTGCTTTTTTTTAACTTATGCTCAGTAACACCAAGAAGGGTTTTATTAATTATGTAGGAAAGATTAATGCAGTTTGCAGGGAAACTGAAAAGTTGCTTTTCTTTAAATAAATGTAAAATATGTAGTTTTTCTCATTCATTAATAAACAAGGCAAATAATACTTTCAAATCTGGTGAAGAAACTAGAGGCTTTTTTATTCTTTTTTTTCCACAAAGGCTCTTGAGAAAAACCAGCAGTGGTTACTGTATGACCAGCAACGTGAAGCATATGTCAGGGGACTGCTGGGAAGGATCCTGGAACTTGAACAGAGGTCAGAAATTGTTAGTCAACAACAACCCAAAGAATCTAATGCAGAAGGTATTTTTTTTCCATGAATGCTCAAACCATAATTATCTGTAAAATACATTTCCTATAATAATAGCAGTAATCATGACTTTCTTCATAATATTTTGCTTTGTTATTTGTAAAACTTTTGAATTTCTTTGTTTCCTGTTTTCTTTAGTTGCATTACTTGATCAATTCCTCTTGTTCCTATCTACTTCGCTAAACATTTTTAAAAGCTCTGACAGTTTATTGGCCACCTTTCTGTTTGCAAAAAGTGTCGAGGCAAATATATGCATATCTCCCATCCTTCAAAGTACACTCTTAGGCTCCATAAAGGAAGCATTGAGAATTTACTGGCTAGGTGTGTATCAGTCTGTTCCTTTCAAAATAAATATTATAAAAATGACTCAAGCCTGACATGTTCTTTATTCATCTGAACAGATCATTTGGCATCTGTGATAGGTTTTGACACTTGTCCAAAATGTTTTGCAATAGTGGATCTGGCTACCTCTAGCTTACTTCCATGTTGTGGAGTTCCTCAGTAAGCACCTTCTCTGTAGCATGTATTCAGATCGCCTTGAGTCATGCTTGACCATCTTGTAGGATAAAGTTAAAATCTTGAACAGAAGAGCCAGAACGGGTTGGCTTCCTTTTCATGTCAAATTATCAGTTTCATACTGCAGCTGATCTGCAAGGTAAACTTATGAAATAGGCATGTTATTACCTCCAGGTGAGGATAGTTCTATGGGTAATTACCACTTCATAATTAATGTGCAGTGGCTTTGTTTCTATGTTGCTGGTGGTAATCTTACAGAAAACTGAAATGTTATTTTTTAATCTTTCTTTAAGAGTCTATGAATAGTGTATTGGAGGGAGGGGCAGCCTGTAGTAGCTCACCAGATGAAGTAATCAGAGTTACTATAGTCAAAGCTTTGTCATCAAAGCAGCCAAGAAACAGAGTAAGGGGGTGAGTGTTCCTCTTCAAGCAAATAGACAGCAGTAGAAATCAAAGCTTAAAAAAACTAGCTATACAGATTGAGACTGTTTTTTCCAAGGACAATGTTGACATCTCTCTGAAGAGCTCACTGCCCTGCAAAGGAGTGTTGCTAATAAATTTAAGGCTTAGACTTAGGGTGGGGAGTGTTGAACATTGAAGGAAGAAACTTTCCTTAGTAAGTTATACTTTGAAGGCTTCCCTCATGTTCTTCAACAGGAGAAGTACACAAGACAAGAACTTGAGTACCAGAAATGACAAGGGACTGTGAATGACAGCATTCCTTATTCTGCTTCTGGGCATACTTTATATTCTGAATTTCTATGGAGTACTTTTTTCTAGTTAATAAGTTTTTCTTGGGTCAACAAGCATAAACTACTTGAACAGTGATTTAAGTAAAGGTCATTAGCCAAGAAACAGGCATTCTTGATCAAAAGACCTACTTCAGTTTCCTTTAAATGCACTGTAGAAGATTATGTACAATTTAAGACAACAGATTTTCCATTTCTGTGTGGTGATAGAGCAGAACTTATAAGACCCTCAGGGTGTCTCTAGGGAGAGAGTAATGATGGAACCTTGACTAAGGAGCCTAAATCTAAACGTCATTTGATCTCCATTCTAATGTTTCAGTATAATGCTTGAGGCTGCATAAGAACTATTAAAGGGACCATGCAGCTCGTGTAGTCAGGACAAATGCTGTAACATTGCTATAACAGTTATTGAAAGAAGTGGCTGTAGCACTACATGGAAGCCAAGTTGCTGTTCTCCAGTAACTATCCTTGGAGAAGGTTTTGTGCTTTAGAAGTTTATAAAGCTGTTTTAACTCAGTTTGGTGATCTAGCCTGTGTAACAGGCTAAAATGTCAATTTACATCAGTATTCTTCAAAATGCTATCAAGAGTTTTGGTGCTCTGTTTCTGAAGTGTTTCTCTATGATGCTCTCTCCTTATCTGTCTCATTAAGGTCATCTACAAGAAAAGCAAAAACATTACGATCAGCTCTTAGAAAATGCAAAGAGTGATCTTGAAGCTGAAAGATGCACTGTAACCCAGTTGAAATGTGAACTTAATGAGTTCAAAAAGAAGTATGAACAAAGACGACAAGAAATAATGAGCTTAAATGCCTTACTGCAGTCGCAACACATTGCTGAAATGGAAGATCAAGAAAATGAAAACATAATTAAAGGAGAGAAAATACAGATACTAAAACAAGAAAACGAAAGTATTAAAGTACAGCTAAGAGAAGAAAAGAAAAAGTCTGAAGATCTATTATCTCAGGTAAGCAGATTAAAAACTGAAGATCATTAGTAAAGAATCAAGAGAGCTGGAAAGCCATGCTTCATCAGAACAGACTGTCACTTGGTCTGATAACAGCTACTTATGTTCACCTATACTCACATACTCCTTGTTGTTAAAACTGAATCCTTTCGTACTGGTTTAGCAATCTGGTTTTGTGAAGCTCACTCATTTAAACATGAGTTTGCTTATTTCAGTACTATTGCGGGGCAAAAAATGGAATAGGAGAATGCATCATAGATTTTAATCTGGCTTCATCCTCAAGAGTATTGGTGAATGAGAATGGAAAAGGTAAAAAGTCAAGTTTAATGCATGTTATTCTATTGTGTGGTCCAAAGTGGAATATCACTGGTATTTACTATCAGCTGCAGTCTAACACTTACTGGATAAACAGACACTCTCCCTGGATAGTGTCTCCAACTGACTGTTGCGGCCTACACCAGTTTTTTTTACCTTTTTTCCCATCCTTTGTTTTCTGTATTATGCCACAGATAAAACATTATCAAGTGCATCTCACTACTGAAAAGCAACGTGTAGATAAGGGATGCAATGGAACGTCAACTATCACTGTCTTTGAAACAACTATGGTAGAAACCAATGACAAGAGTTCTGCAACTCATTACAGGGCCCATAAAGTTGCCTGTGAGGCTAGCAGTTCCTTATGCATGGCTTTCACTGTTGCCTCACCTGCTGCTTTTATGTCATTTCCTAACTGTTTGCAGGGCTTGCCTGTTTCCCAGAGAGTAACTTATTAACAACATTATTTAAGTCATTATGTGATTCTTTATTTTTTCTTGAGCCTAATTACTTTTCACTACCTATCTGGCTGAGCAGAGTTAAGAAAACATGCTTATGCTGTATTTTAATGTTAAAAATAATTTAGTGCTTACATTTTGTTTGGAGTTGTCACAAGGCTCCCTATGTGGACAACTACAGTGGTAAATTAAAACACAGTATTCCTGTCAGCATTATGGTGCTAACAAAACTTTCTTCTTGATGTGAGATCATGGCCATCTTTTAGATGAAGAGAACCTGGTAGGTAGTTCTTTATGGACTGTACTCAGGTCATACAAATAAGATACACTTTGTACTTGGTGGTCAATAGAGCTGAAATTTGAAATAAGATATAATTCAGTAGGCATTGATTTAGGCTAAAACTAGAACATCAGACTAGCTCTTTAGATACAAGCTAGTGGTTATCACTGGTTAATAATAAACTTATTTTATATTTTTTCAGCAGAACAAAAGCACTCACTTTAAAAGTTTGATATGTCCTGTTAATGGAGGATATCTTATAAATGCATTTAGTTAATGCCTTATAGTTGAGTATTTTCTAACTTTTCAGTTCTATTTAAAGTAAGCTGAACTGCTTATTAAAAACAATAGTGTTATGTTAGTTGAACATAAGCTTTTTTTATACATGTATTTTTCTGTTCAGCCAATCACCTGGGAAAGTTCAATTGGTTTTTATTTCTTTTTTTTACTCAGTAAAATACCAATCTACATTCTTCCTTACTCTGGACTGTAGTAACACTTTCCTGGGGTTTTCCCCAGGGAAGGAGAGGTATTTGAATCCTGTGTGGCTGCTGTAAAATAAGCATATGTTTTCTGCTGGCATTGGAACACAGAAGTTTAGTTCCATTCCACCTTGAACTTTTTCTTAAACTTACTGTACATGGAAATTGCTTGTTTTTCTGCCTTGTAGGTACAGCTTCTTCGTAAATCATTGCTCAAGCAGCAGGAGGAACATGCTAGGATAGCTTTGTTGGAACAACAGGTATGCAATTATGTGTTCAGATGTGACTTCCTTTTTCAAGAATTTGATACTTAAATTGTTCTAGAAAGTCTTTGTGCATAATATACTTCAAATTTAAGAGTAAGTAGTATATTAAAGTAATAAAGTAATAGACAACTCTGGGTGATCCCTCTATGTTTCTAAAAATTCTTGTTTTCCAGAGGAAATATGTAAGAGGCTGCAAATAATGCTACTTTCTGCACAATCACTTGTTCAAATGAATACTGTACGGCCTCAAATTAGGTCTGGGAAACATCTTAAAACCAGTCAGCTCATTGAAACTTGTAACATACAAATAACTGCATTGTCATCTGCTCTCTGATGTTTTTTCTCAAGGAAGTTTTTAGAGATCTAACTTAAATCCTTGGGAGAAAATGTTGTATGTTTGCTAAGCTCTAGATTAGTGTTGCCTATAGTTTCCTTTCAAATTGCTGCAACAAAGATCATGGAGTAGAAACTGGCGTTTCTGGGGGAAACTTCACTACATGCTTTTCCAGAAAATCTTCAGTTTAGGAGCATGGGACAGCTGAAATATCCTCTAACTGAAGTAACTTTTAACTCTCCAATTATTAATTGAGCGTATAAATTCTATTGAAATGAAAGCAATAAATGATTTTAATGTATTTTAGGATATGGTTATAAGTAAAGCTTGTTTTAAATACACAGGGAAAATTTCCTTTCACCACTTTCTTGATAATTCTACTTTTACATCTTTTCCCTTTGTGGGGTTGCAAGATCCAAATATGCACTGCAGACTTGGAGAATGAAAAGCTTGACCGCCAGAACTTGAAGCATCAGTTAAACAAGATCTTTAAGGAATTGTTCAAGGCAAGGGAGCAAATAACTCGTCTTGAACCTCTGGTACGTACTGATAACTTGCAGGTTAACTCAGGAATTTTGCATAAATGAACAACTTCTCACTCAGGAGTGTAGTGAGCCTTCTGTTCATGTCAGCAGGTATTCACTGCAGTTGCTCACATCCGTTAGCAAGTCCAGTGATGCAGAACCCTATATTAGTTAGTTAAATACAAATTCTGTTACAGGGAAGTGATACTGCAGAAGAGATGCAGAACAGTCAGGTTCCTTGATAGAGAACATAATTGTTTTGTCACACTGTATTTCTAGTTTTGTCTGTTGTACAGAACCAGAAGTGTAGTATGCTTGTACTTAAACTTGCTGCTAGTCAACAAGGCACAACCCTTACAGCTGAATCCCTCTCTCCAGACCCTGTCCTACATCTCTGTTGCACAGAATGGATGGATTACTAATATTCATCCATTTTCAAAAAGATCTGTTTAACTCCTAAGATAAAAAGGGATGTTAGTATTGTGTGAGGACCATGGTCTGTTTGCTACTTATGTAATCCCAAAGAAAGCCACCTAGATTCAATCATTGGCTTCAACAGAAATTCAAAAGGAAAGATTAAACATCAAGCAATCCACTACTGTTTGCTCTGTTGTATCCAGGACTGTCTCAGTCTTCAGCAGAAATGTATTTTGACTGTTGGTGTTCTTGGAACTCTATGTTAAGGGTCTTGCAAAATTGTGATAGCTGAATAGAATTGTTGAGTCTACAGTTCTGGATTTATTTAAATGAGGTTCAGAAGAAAAATTAGATGCCTGCATCCTTCATTAGATCAGGTTTGATGCTGCCTTGCTTCTTACAGAAAAGATAAACCCTGAAGGCACTAACAAGTAGCAGAACAGAGGAATTCTTCTCACTGTCTCATAGTTGCTGCTACTGCCAGCAGAGGCCATTAGAAAATCCAGCTGCAGGAGCAGCTGAAACTTCTGCAGGGCTGCAGTGTTCAGTTTCCCTGTGCTGAGAAATTGAGTGGATAACTGTTGGGTGTTATTGTCCATTAAGGGAAACCTTCATGCATAGAGACTGTTGTTCAGAGTGTCAGGTGGAGAAGGAAAAATTAAGGCAGAGTTTAGGAAGGAAATTAGGCAGAGGCAGCATCTTGTGTAGTGGGGATTGGTGCATTTGATTAAGGGGGGGGACTTTATGAATGGTTAGAAAGATAGTTGGATAAGGATTCCTTGCAAAAAGAAATTCCCTATGTGTAGGTGTAATTGTAAATCATGTTGAATTCCCTGATACTTATATGGCGTTTTTAGAACTTTCAAAGGAATTTCTAAAATAGTCTTCAGTGTTTGACTCTCATGAGGCTTGTGGTCCTGCTGTAAGAACACAGACTGAAGTTTTCTTTATTTCCTCATTCTTCCCTTCTGTCAGACTTCTTCCCCCTCAAAAATACACAATGCTACTAACATTTCTGCAAGTCATGTTCCATTGTTCAGTATTTAGGGTGCAGAAATTTGGCTTTTTAATTAGAATGTGTATGACAGTTGTAAGATGGCCAAATAGTTAGCTGCAGATTTGCAATGATGTGTGAGTCTGAAGCTTGCTGTCATAGCTTCCACCATGTTTTTTTGTTATACCTTATGAAATAATCTGTGATTGCTGCTGCACAGTGTTTAAAGTGACAGGACTCAAGTTCTCATTCAGTGGTTCATGAAGGAGAGAAGCTACTTCAAACAAAGAATGTACATTAAATATTGCTATAATGTAATTGATGTGCTCTACCTTATCTGTATATTAATGAGTTGTTGTGGGAAGTCTGTGTTAAGTAGCCTGCAGAAAAGCTACCTGCAATCTAATTCAAATATCATATGGAAATTATTCAACAGGCCTATACTGCCCCTTATTAATGCAAGTAGAATAACTGCATTTAGCCATCTTTAAAATTCTGTCCTTAGTGCTGTATGTAGCACGTGGTTTGTGTGCCATCAAATATCTTTTCCTACATCTATGTGACCAGAACATCACTCAAGCATGCCTCAATTCTTCACTAAAGCTTTTCCTTTTCCAGAAGCTCCAAGAGTCTGGACGTATGGAACCACAAGAAGACTTGCAAGCTGCATTTGAAGAGAATATTGCAGCATATGATAGTAGTCCTTCCCGGAAACATTCAAATCTCCTTGATGAAAGTTTCCTTGAGTGTCCCAGATGTAAAGTGCAGTATCCAACAAGCCAGCACAGAGAATTACTAGCGCATATTGATTTCTGTACAGCTTAAGCTCTGGATGGACTTATTTCCTCCTTATGCACTGCCAGTATACTGTTTAAAAAGGCAAAATATTTTTGTAAAACTTTTCTTTTGAGGCTATATGAAGGACTTTATATTTCTGTTCAATGAAAACAGTAATTTATTTGGCATCAAATATTCCACTTGACTCTTGTGCAAATGGTCATTGCATTTTTGCTTGCAAATGGAAATATCTGTAGAATTAGGACTATTTTCATATAGTAAACTACTGATTTTTTTTTGCACTATTAAAAATGAGAGCAGTAAAAATGCACCTACTGTGTCAGACTAATACTTGACATATCCAGTTCTGAAACTGACAGAAAATGGAGTGCTTATTTTGTGATTACAGGACAATTCTCTCAAAATCTACTGTAAACCTAGGTTTGTGAGCATTTTCCTCATTTTACCTGTATCATTTCCTCATTTTGCCTGTAGCAAAGTCCAAGTCATTGTTACTGTAAGAAAGATTAAAGTGAGGGCAAAAATTAAGATAAATGAACTTCTCTTACAATTCTATGGTTTGAGACCAGCGAATTACCTGCATACAGACTGTAAGGTAAATCTATCCCTGGTGCACCATTTTGAATTGCTAGCCAGTGTGACACTGACCCATGTAGGTTCTCCCTACTCTTATGGTTAAACATTATTTTAAATATAGGGGTATTTTCAAAGTTGTTTCCAGTTACTATTGTAATATTGCATCATACTGTTGTTAAAAGCTAATACTTAAAGACAACAACTATATCACCACTTCTCAATTTTACTGATTGTCAGGCTAATCTTTGTCTCTGACAACTTGGCAAGCAAACTGTGCTTCAGAATCCTAAGGCTTTTGTCATGTTGGAAATTCATTTCACATCTTTTAAATTCAGGGTAACCATACTTTTCATTCCAACCTTAATGACCTTAATCACTTATTGAACTACTTTTTTAGAAGTTAAAAGACACCTAACCTAAACAACATATTAATCAGCTAGTACTCTATTCCCAGCTGTATATTCAGCATGGTTTCTGCAATAAATTCTGATCTTTTATGTATTATAGATGAAATAAGTTTGCCTAGTGCAGGTTTTCTTTGCAATAATTCTGACGCTTTCTTAAATTAGCCTAAAATGCTTTCTCATTAAAGCTGGTGCTACCAAGGAGGACTGAAAGACTGCAGCTCATTAGCTGCTCAGTTATTTAGTATTAAAATGGAGGGGATTCAGATAAAGTTGATAACCTGACCTTTTAAAGTGTTTTGTTTATTCCAACACCTGCTCTGGATTTTAACATGCTTAGACCTATATATAATAACCTACTTATGTTGCACTTATGTTAGCGCAACATAAGAGAATGTAATGATGCATTTTGATAGCATTGATGTTTGAAAAGTAGCGAAATGAAATTCACTGGTCACTGGAAGTGAAGAAAGATTCTAAGACAAGTTTTTTTTCTGAATGTAAATGGGTCCTGTAAAAGATCTGCTGCTTTCTTTTCTTTGTCTACAAAAGGTGGATTTGTACCTAGTGCTTGTCTTACTGCTAGGACTTAACTGTAAGCTTAAAAATTAAGGCAAAAATTTAAAAAAAAAAAATCTGGTATCTTAAGCACTTTTTGTATTGTCAGTTTCAGCAGTCTATTCTTATGTCTATTTCAAGTAACTGAATTTTAACACAACTGTATTTCAACATTGAAAATTCTGTGAAGTCTGCATTATAGGAAGATGTCAGCCTAGGAAAGCTTATGGATTAATACAGCATATTAATAATCCTGGCTTTCACATATGGTTCTTTGTAAATAGAAAGTGAATTAAGCGCTTTTGATGCGGTAAGTGTGATTGGAAGCTATGCTGAGCCTAATAAATGTCTGTCTTTTTTTTACATAAGGACAACTTATAATGAAGTAACAGCAACTTTAAAGATAGCTCTTACTCGTCAACTTAATGTAAGGTTGTACCCAATGAACCGTTCAGTCAGCTCTTCATCTCTTATTTGCTTGTGCAACTTTATTTCTTACTCCTGATTTTGGTAATCTTTTGTGCATTTATTTGCTCTGTGCCAACAGCTGTTTTACAGATGTTTAGGCAAGCTATATTATAAACCACTTTAACCATACAAATATATTATGGCAGGAGGGCATAGTGCCTGTTATACTGTAAAAGAATAATGCTGAACCACGCAAACATTTAGAGAACTGGATGCCCCTGTTTGGCAGCTAATGTTACCGTGAATGGTATGGTGTCCTCAAGACAAGATCATGGGGAATATTGCCACCCCTGTGCTAGCTCTGTAACAAAGCAGATGTAGGTGAGAGATTACAAGTAATGAAAATGTGGCAGTTCCATTTTAAACAGCCAGTTGACCTATTAGTTTCCACATCTTGTATGTGCTTGAACAGTTAAGATTACAGTAGCAGTTGGTTTCATTGTAAAGATGATAAATTATATCATACAAGAAAGATGCACTATCTCATAATACAAACTACAGCGCATACAATGCTACTTGTAGCAGTTTTAAGTCGTCTTTCTTATAATTTGAAAAACATGACAATTTGGTAGCCCAGTAGATCTGTTCCCTGCAGTAAGGAATGATCTTGTTGAAAGTCACCAGGTATTAAAAAGAACCATTGTCACAGGGAAGGTCCATTTGGGTTATTTTCAAGACAAAACACAAGGTTGAGCAGTTGTGAATCTACCAGACAAGGACAGTAGAAGGCTTCCCTGAGATCATCCACATGCTATGATGTTTGAGGAGTGTGGAAGGTAGGTGGGTTTTTAAGACTCGAAATAAAAGAAAAGCATGATACCTAACAAGGAAGAAGAAAAGCCATAGGAATTTAGGTTGATTTTCTCTAACTTCAATTCCTGGAAAAAAAAAAGACTGTCAAGAGCTGACACTTGGAGTCATATCATGTACTTGCAGTTTCCTTACTGAGTGAGTGCTGTGGACAGGGGAAAAAAAAAAAGTGCTAGTATGGACTTTAGTCTCAAATGCTAGTTTCTTAATGCAAGGAAATATAATTATTTCCTCTAGCCTATACTACAGGAAGCACAAGTAGTTGAAAAGCTATAATAAGTATTAATGATTCATAGCTACTAGAATGTAAATGCAGCTAAAGGTGGATCTCTGCTCTGACTTACATGATCAGAATGTACAGTATCTCTGACAAGCAGCCTCAAGTGGATGGTAATGTATCTCATCTCTGAGACCTGAAAATCTCAGGCTTTAAGAGCCAGACACAGTTCCCAGATGCTAGTAGCTCTCTGGATTTCTCTCCTAAGTTTCCCTTGAACTCCTGTGGAAAATATGAAATGGTTAAGTAAGGAATGTATTAGGCAATTCCAGGTTAATCTATCTGATTCCAAAGCTACTTTGGATTTTCAAAGATGAAAGCACGTGATGCTCCAACACTGTATAAATACATGAAGTCTGAGATAATCCAAGGTAGGAACTAAGAGCTCTTCAGAGGACATCATTAATTTTCAGTTTGTCAAGACTAATGAGCTGAAACAGAATGAATATAGAAACTATAACAGGTATGAATAATCAACTACCTAAAAGCAAAATCAGTAAAAATCAGTAGTATGGCAGATTATCAAATTCTCAGGAAGGTTTCAGAGACTGAGTGTGATTCATTATCCTACTTGCAATATTGTACAGCAGTTCTACATAATGAATAAACAGACTCATGTTTTACACATTTTTTTGCATTTCTATGTGATGATGAGTGTTTTAGCTGGAATACAACATCTACTTTCAAGTACTGTACTTCAAGAAACTGGCGTAAGGAAAATTGTTCTGGTGGCTGGGATAGATGAGCAGTGAAACACTGCTCACTGAGGCTGTAAAATCTCCACAGGGATGGTGACATAAAATTGTCTAATCCATTCCAAGGACCTGAGTTCATTTCTGTTGCCCTTCTAGCCAATTGGCAGCCTAAGTGTTTCAAGCTGAGTGAGAAGTCTCAAAATGAGAGAGTGAGACAAATTGCCTCAAAACATCCTTCAAACAAAGAAGTCTGGGACTTCATCAAGTTGATACAGCTTGCTTCCTGACAGAAGTGCAGCCAGGTCTAATTTCTCTGATCTTCTCCAAAGTAGTGAGCAAGCACAATGCATTAGCAAAAGCTCAACTTTTATTAATGTAACAAGTATGATCTGGTCAGTTTTATCTCATTCAATTAGATGGAAAACTATATAGCCTAATTTAGGTGTCCATGTGTCTGGACATGGCTTATGAGTTATGAGAAGCTGTATGTTGCTTCTCTTTAATTATCTCATTTTAAATTATAATGTAACCAGACCCTAACCAGTCACAGATAACAAAAAACATGAGCATTGGGGGAAATAATTAATATGATTTAGCATTACACTTGGGAAGTCAGAGGGTTTTACATCATAACTTAAAGGTGTTATCTGTACTTTCTCTCACTGGTGTTGCAAGAATGGCTTTTCTGTTTCTCTCATCATCTATGCTTGCTGAGCACAAACCTCTTCAAGAAGGACAGTACTTTTTGGTTGCAGGGAGTTACTCTGTAGCCTATTATTTCAGAAATGCCTGAATTTCAAAATCAAAGCTTTTATCCTGATTCTGACCTGAAGAACCTCTGCTGATCTCAACAAGTCACTTCTAAGATATAATGGAAAGAAAGCAAGCTGGTCCGTAAATAAGAGCATTCTCTAACTACTGTCTGTGGGATATGAGAGAAAATGATGACATTTATGATCTCTGCATTGTGTGCAACCCAGTGTACAGATGTATTCAGAGAAAGTCTGAATACATCTCATGAAGAAGGCAGGTTGATGACAATTTTTGTTTATAAGTCCTTCAAAGGAACAATATAGTCTATTCTTTGGTGGATCTGCATTAAAGCTCATCAGCAGGAATGTAAGTAACTTTATGCACAGCTGAAAATTAATATCAGAGGGCTGGCAGGAGAAGAGCAGTGCTGCTAAGTTCAGTGGCGCTTCACTATCAGACTACAATACTCTATTTACATCTAGCTCAGGTCTCAGTCCCTTAGTAAGGGCATTCTTCTGTGCCCTTCAACATCAGAATGAATCATCCCGATCCCCATATTCAGTGATAAACTCCTGAAATCCAGGTTCAAGATCTGTAAATGTAATACACTATCTTAAACTTACAGGAAACTACATTTAGTCAGAAGAGTCTAGCTGGAGCTGAGTCACCCTTGTGAAGCTCTGCTTAGAGTGTAGCATAACAGAGATGACGACTGTGTGAAGAACTCACCCTTATGTGGATTCTGTACTTACATATGCACTTAGCTTATGGAGAAACACCTCCTTTACTACATGTCATAAGAAAACTTGACAAAAATTTCTGGTGGTCCTGTTGACAAAAAACCTGATCCAGTTCCCACCCTTTTTCTGATGGACACTGACCACAGAAAAATAAGGCTTCCCAGAAGAAACTAAGATTCAGTACTTGACATAATCACACAGATCTGTAAAGCATCTGCTATTGCCCATGAACTCTGGAGAGGGTGAGCTTTCCACTACATGAATACAAACACAGGCATTCATATTTGCACTACAAATTTAAAATAGTCACTTGGACATTGGTGTAAATGCTTCAGCTCACGGATGTGAAAACATACTGTGGGTGAGCAGTTAGAAAACTCCCTAAAAAGCAAAATAGCTAAAAGCAGGTTTGTATTAGAGTGGCATAGCTTCTTCCAAGCACAGAAAAAGAACGACTCAAGTCTAGAAGCAGAACAGCTACAAGTACAGTACTTGAAAGAAAAAAATGAAAATAGAAAGCTAATCTGTGTTGAAACTTAACGCTGAAACTCTATTATAGAGACATAGCTTGAGTCACCTGCCAGCTTGAAACTTCTATTGTGAAGACAGAGTCAATATTTCTAATGCAACGAACTTATATCACTCAGCAAACAGTAAATATACAACACACCTGTTACAAAAGTGAATGTTATTTACTTATCGTGACATGGGTGCATGGAAATACTGCCCAAAGACCTAAATAACAATTTACATGCAAGACATTATTAAGGCGAAAAGCTTTCCACGGTCACGTCCAAATGGAAAAAAAAAAAGACCATCTCCAGCATCACCTAGCTCAGAAAGTCCCTCTCAATGGGAGTATTTCTTATGCACAAGAAATAAATAAGCTGAACTACCCCCATCTGTTATGACAGTTCATGGTTGTCAGGGGAACAATCTGAAAAACCGAGCTTGGCTTATGATATCAGGTAACATAGCACTTGCCACAGAGAAGGAAAGACTAGAGCTCTTAATGAGGACCAGAAAAATAAATTAAAAAAAAGAAACAAGACATTTAACTCCTGAGGCTAGCTAACTAGCTCCTCAGAGATCCCTACTTTCATGAAGTCTAGAACTGTGAGATTGGGGTTGTCTCTGTGTTTCATTTCTTCTGACTGTGAAGTAGGTTGAAAAAATGATACATTGTAACAGGTTTCCAAGCATTTTGCTAATCACTTCCTGTTCATAAGCATACATGGACTATATACTGCACACAGCACCCACCTATTACAGTAATGCAAGAGTAGCTATATTGAGGTTACGATTCCTCCCTTCCTCAGATTTCACATTGTGATGGTTGCTATGATTGTAGCTATCCAATGGCAAATATAGTTCTGTAATTCATGGAGGGAAAAGTATTATTTTAGGTGAATGGATCCATTAGACCCATGAATAGTCAGTCTTTTTTTTTTTTTTTTTTTTTTTTTTTTTTTTGTACAAGAAACTCCAATTCATTTGATAACACCCCGCTGTAATATGCTTGGGTTTTTTTATACACCTCTGCAGTCCCCTTGTATCTTGTACAGTGTTTTGTGCAGACAGCAGTGTGAAACTCATTCACTGATGGCATTCTGAAAGTAGCATTTTGCTTTGGTACTCCTGAGTAACAACTGGTTTATTCCAAAGAGAGCTCTTGTTCACATCTAAGGACCAAAGCTAAAGGTAACCCTTTCTAAAGATCAAGGATATGTCCTGATAATTCTCAGCATCATCCATTTTCAAACCTTTGGTTCACTTATGGCATTCTTTTCCTTTCTGATGGAGCACATCTTAACGTCTTCAATAATGCTGCTTTGGATGTTTTGCTCCCTATTTTCTTTCCCCCATTCTGTTTCAAATGTGTTCATTTTACCCTGAATTGATAGGATCAGGTTCTGATTTAATTTTTCAATGATACCAAAGGGGCTGAAGATTTTACTCATGATTTTCATTAATCTGTGCTACTGTTTGTCAGCTGCTCACTACATATTCCTTTAATGTCTTCCAAGTTTTTGCACAGGCACAAGCTTCTAAAGAATGGCTCTTTCTCACATCCCAGTCCCTATTCAGAACTGGCCACATCACCGCTACTGCCATTCACCCACAAGTTTGGAACTAGCTTGTCAGCTTGTATAAAGTCCCAGGCCTGTGAGGTTGAGGAAGATATTTGCTGTTTTTAAAGATTCACTTTGTATTTTACAGGATCAGCCCATAGCAGAACCAGTATAAATTGTGGCCAGGGTTCTGGAATCCCTATTAATACCATTAAGTAACAGGTTCATTGCAGAGATCACATCCAGAACACTGCAAAAGCAATGTCTCCTTACGAAGCTGTGCTGATACATCAGCTTGGAACAACTTTCACTTAGAATAACAGTTGATAGGAAAATCAAAAGGTGTAGCTCCATATGCCAAAGTCTGTAACAGAAACACTAAGCACTTGCATTGGCACTGAATAAAACACTCATCTAGAGCTGTCTGAAGTTATACAACTGTTTACACAGTTCCTGAAAACATTTTATCTTCTTTTACGAGGCATTATCTGCTTGATTTTGACTATTTATATGCTTCACTCCCAGCCCAGAGTGTAAGCAGGAACGCCACCTCTAGCATTTGAGCATCTGCTCTCAAAAGTTAACATTCTGAGAAAAGATGGTATTTTCTACTTATGTCTAGATTAACAAGTTTTCTTCTGCCAGAACTCATAACATGGACAACAGGTAGGACTCTAGCTCAACCTAGTGTAAGAATTCCAAAAACCAGTATTGTGACATCTCCCCTCCACATGGGACTACAGTTAATACAAGCAGCGCACAAGACCAGATTTCAAAGGTCCCTGCCAAGACACTAGGAAATCAGTAAATCCCTCTTCTTTTACCTTAGGACAGAGCTTGTTTTCCTGCCTCCCAAGACAAGCTTGCACAGCCATTCCTCCTTGAAAGCCCCTCCTGGGGCTCCTGTTTCACCCTGTGTTTTTGTGCATGTGCTTTCAGCAGAAGGGAGCATCTTGGAGCAGCCTGCAAGGCTTCCCCAGCTCACTCGGCACCTAAAGGTCCTGTCTGAAAGCAGGGCTGTCAGGAGGGAAGTGGCCAGGCCCAGGTCCCCTTGGCATGGAGGTGCCACTGCTCAGCACCACGCCCTCCCTGGGGAGGTGTCAGGAGGCCCTACTCACACCCAGCCTGTCGCTGCCTCCCCACGCACGCGGCCTCACCTTTGTGTGAGCTGTGCTGTGTTTACCCTCCCACTTCCTTGTTGCACTGCAGTATGAGGGCCATAAACTGTACGGCTGGCACAGCCGAGCCCTCAGTGGCACAGACAGAAGGAAGAAGAGGAGGGGGATGGCAGCCAGCCCCCCGCCCTGTGTCAGAGCACCCCAGGTGCCACCGTGGTGGTTGGCAGTGCAGCCCTTCCCCTAGGGATGATGCCGCTGCCTGCAGCAGCGCTCTGATGCTCACCAGCCACCCTCATGGTCGGGGCTGAGTGCACACCAGGGGAGAACAAGACTTACTTCCCATTCTTCTCAGACTTCAGGGGTGGCAACGTGACGGCCCTGCGTGTCGGCGAGTTGGCTGCGCTGGGCTCCGTCTTCCTGCTGGCCTTAGTGGGCAACATCTGGGGCATCTGCCTGCTGGTGTGGCGGCAGCAGCGGCTGTGTGCTGCCAACTACCTCGTCCTCAATCTCTTCTGTGCTGACCTGCTCTTTATCACCGCCATCCCGTTCATTGGCATCGTGCGCTGGACCGAGACCTGGGTGCTGGGCGACATCATCTGCCACATGCTCTTCTATGTGATGACCCTCAGTGGCACTGTTGTCATTGTCTCTCTCTCGGCTGTCAGCCTGGAGAGGGTCATCAGCATCGCTCGGCTGCACCACACTGCCTTCCGCCGCCGCAAGCTGCTGGCTGCTGTCCTCTGCATCTGGGGCTTCGCCGCTATTGTCACCTTGCCGCTCTGCTGCTTCTTCACTGTGGTGCAGGTGCCCAGTGTCACTGGTGAGGTAAGGGTGAAAGCTGAATGGTCACCCAGCATGTGCTTGCCTCTGTACAAAGTGGCCATGCATAGGTTTTTCATTCTGGTATTTTGAAATGCGTGCAAAAGTATATCCAATATGACACTCAAATACGTTAAGTCTGTATGTTTCTATCTTAAAGTTGCTGTTAGCATATGATATGGAATTTACAGTTGTAGTTAGATTGTGGACAATTCATCTAACTTATCTATTTGTACATTTGTGGGCTTTTAAAAATATAAAGTAATACATTAATTGACGGCTTTGCTTGAATGGGAAGTTTTCACAAATTCACTTTAGGCTGCAGGCAATTTTTCCTTGGGCACACAGAGAGATAAATAGAACATAATAGGAAAAATAACTGTGGAATGTTCATTTTCTTCTTTTTCCTTTGTAAACAGGAGATTCATATTTGTACCTTGGATTGGCCCAGCCATGCGGGAGAAATAGTCTGGGATGTGACCTATGCTGTTGTTGTCTTTTTAATACCAGGATTAATCATTGTCATCAGTTATTCCAAAATCTTACAGGTATTTTTTAAATTTTGCTATAGAACAAATAAACAGTAATTCATTAGGCATCAATGTATCATCACTGTATATAAATACACCTAAAGAATATGTGCATTAGTTGCTCAGATAGAAGAGCACGTGATAAAAATAAAGTATTTCAACCTGTAAGTAACAGTCTGTACTTTTCAACTAGGGACATACTTGAACATCATATTACCAGAAGACCAATATAACGTCAATATAAAGTTTGTCCTTCACTTGTATATAGTATTTAATACTTGTATCCATTTACGTGTTATTCATATTTAAAGACTGTCAAACTTTTAAATGCTTAAAGACTTTATATCAGAAATTATATAAAACTGGATCTTGCATTCCTTAAGCTTAAACCATAGGGACTCACAAGAGAGTTGTAGGAAAGCAAAGAAAGGCAGGACTAGAAACAAAAATTCTTCCCATTTTAGATCTACTGATTTTCTGCTTTCTGCATATGTTTGTAGCTGACAGGTTTTATTAGAGTACTCTTCCTTCTCCACAGCTTCTGACCTTGCAAAGACTGTAAACTAAGTACTCTGCCTCCATGCTCTTTCTGACTAGGTGTTGAAATGTAAGGCCAAGACACCAGGCATCACAGTGTATATTCTACATACCTAAATTCCTTAAAAAACCTTTATTCATACCCCTTCTTCTTCAAAATGCTAAGTGGGAAAGGAATTAGAAAACTTGAAACTAAGTGCTGGAATGCCTGTTTTTTTTTTTTTAGTAACAACATTATTGATTCCTCTATATGCAACTAAACTCGTATTATTTATAAGGAACATTTTAAGCATTTGAAAGAAACTGTAAAATACACAGATTATTGAGCAAGGAATTAATTGGTGAAGTGGTGAGCACTAGGGGCTGTGAGTAAATGAGGCAGAGCTAGATGTAGATGTTACCATGAACCTATGACCTACGCTCCAGGCTCTGCATGTACTGCTATTGATCGGGCTCATAGTCAAAATCATAATCTCTTTGTTTCCCTATGCCTAACCTCGTAACAATCTTGAGGTAAATGCATCAGGTAAACATATTCTAATGAAGGAAAGTACTTGCCTTGTGCACCCCCATACTAGCTGTAGGTGAAGAGCATACAGTAACTCAGTGGGGATTTTGAGCCTGCTGAAAGAATTGCAAAAAAACCTGCATACCAAGAAATGCCACAGTCCTGGGTCAGAGACCAGAACAGGAATGGTGTTCTGCTTGTTCTTACAGACTTCAGCTTACAGCTGGTAGATTTAGAAAACACAGTGGTATATAGGGACCTAGAAGCCCAAAAATGTATTCAGGATACTGGATTACAAATCAGTCCCATGCTGCTATGCTCGCATTTCTTTTCCAACTCGATAACACAGATGCTAAACTGTGTTACCGTTCCTCCTGAACTGAAAAAGGAATGAGGCCTATAGCAGGTTTCCATATGTTATAATTGGATCTTCTCTCTCACACAGCTTTTCAGGAAGCAACCAGAACTCAGCTGGAGAATATCTTAATCCCTGAATTATTCCCAAGAACAGATTCACTCTAACTTTGTGAGAACACTGTATAATAACTGCATACAGTACGATGCTAAGTTACTGGAAGCGCTTCAAAGCGTTATTGTATTCAGATAAGACAGCACCAATGATGATGATTCACTACAAAGATAAGACCTCTAATTTGATGAGAAATGTACTCTCCAAAGGTACCTAAATTTAATCGGAATCCGAGTATTAATTTTTTGCAATACTTCCACAAATTAGAAGGCACAATTTGTTAACTGAAATGTTTTTGCAGTGTTTCCTCTCTCAGGCAAGACTCAACCCATGTGGATTTGGAGAAGAGGCAAGAACCAGTAAAGAAATGAATGTTGGGAGGATATTATTTATATATACGTGACCTTTAAGTTTCTGGTCTTCAGAGCATGGTCCAGGTGCCCACTGTAGTTATCAAGATTCATTATGCTAGGCACACCAGAAAGGGATCCAAAACTTATCACTATCAGCCCATTTCAACTGAACATTTCATTAAAATGCAGTCCTAGTGTTTCTTGCATTCTTAGTTCTAGCCTGTGCAGCTCCATTAGGAAACAGGGGTACTTTCATAGGACAGATACAAGGCCTGCTGGTTGAAGACATGCTTTAGTTGTTTTGAAAACTGGAAGCCAAGGAGGACATTCTACTTGTTTCTTTCCACTTTCTGGATAAATGTTTAAAAGTCTGCACTCTTATAGTCAAAGTGAGTATCGGTTCTTTGTATTTTACACAAAGCATGTCCTTACTAAGGCAGACAATGTTTGCTCAGGGAATAACTCTTGTATTGAATCCTTCAGAGTTAGCCTGATTTCTGGATTTCAAGTAGATACTGCAGGATATGATCAAGCTGCAATAGTTTTACATATTTAAAACATCAGAATCCTCTGCCTACAGGAACAGCTCATGAGACTGTCTCCTTCTCAGGCTTAACAACTACTGAGAAGCCCATTTTTCTATCACAGGTTTTGATCTATACACCTACTTTCTGTTGATAACTTTGCCAGAAGTCTAGATTCTTAAAGAATACTTATTCTAGGCCATCAGTCTCTGTGAGAATGCCAGAAAACTGTGGAAAGACTACCAATTTACTCAAAGTCTGTAACTATTATCATCTTTAACTAAACAAGGGAACTATTAAGTGTTAGCATTTAAGTTACTGGTAAAGGGATATATCACACATACAAGCAGAAAGAAGGTTCTCATGCTTTTGAATTCCTACTTAAACACCAAATTAATCCAACTTTTTGAAAACACCCCTTCTTTACCCATGCAGAGTGTAAAAGGGCACCTCAGTTATTTAGCATATTTTTCTAAATATTTCAATTTTATTTAGTTTGCAACAGATACACAAATCTACCAGACTTTAAATCTGCTGTGCAAACATCAGTGAAAACACTGAGATCGGAGTCCTGGATTTAAAGTTTTCTGCAAGCCCTCAAGATTCAACATTCTACCTAATGACAGATGAGATGCACCCATGAATAGTATATTCCCCAAACTAGCCATACTCTGGTCTATTACATCAGCTAGTAAGTTTACAAGACACAGAGAGACTTTCATAGTGATGAAAGCAGTTGCAGGAATTCAGAGTAATTCATAGAATACAATTCTGATTAATGACTGAAAAACTAAGAGTTTTGACAAAACTTAAAATCCCATTCAAATTTAATATATACTATGATTTGTGATTCATGCTCCTTCTAATACCTACCTTATAATACCAGCATAGCAATCATACAATTAGATTCTTTTCGTTGTGCATCAACAGGATTGCTAACTATGTTCCAGTTTGCATTTATGGAAAGATCAATGGGTTTATTTAGATAGAGCAAATGAAGTCATAAATTGAAGTTAATGGGATTTCATGAGTAATTAAGGCTCTATTTTATGCTGAAATTTTATGGCTTGTGAAGAGCCAAGCAGAGAACTCCCAGCTTCAATAATACTGATGTGAATTCACAGCTGAGAGGAAGAAAACCTTGCTAGTAAAATAAAAATGTTGAAATGGAACCATTAACAAAAAGTAAACATGGAATTCTGCAATGTCTTTTTTGTAGTCACTTTTAAACATAGAAATATCATGTACCAAGATCTATTTTGGCACCTGTAAAAATGTATTAAGAATTTTTCTATAGGTTTCAGTGAAAGTTACTTTCTTCTCTTTTACTGCAGATTACAAAAGCATCAAGAAGAAGTTTAAATGCTGGATTGGCCTACTCAGAAAACCATCAGATTCGTGTTTCCCAGCAAGACTACAAACTATTTCGAGCCCTCATTGTGTTGATGATCTCCTTCTTCATCATGTGGAGCCCAATTATCATAACTATTTTTTTAATTTTAGTCCAGAACTACAAACAAGATTTAAATATTCTGCCATCAGTTTTCTTCTGGATAGTGCTATTCACATTTGCCAACTCTGCTGTCAACCCAGTTTTATATAATGTTGCCCATTTCAGACGTAAATGTCAGGAAATTCTCCTCTGTTGTACAGGGAACCCTGTAAGGACCAGGGCTGGTTCGGAAACCTCTGCAAGAAGTAAACGTGAAAAACCTCATTTATCTGTCATTACCAGATAATTATTTAAGGTCTGAACAGTGACTCATTTTGGATGTCAGTATCTATACTATCCCAGTTTGACCAGGTTATCATGCTATAGTATTATATGCTAGAGGAGGCAAAAAGAAAAAAAAAAAAAGCATTCCAGAAAGTAACATCCTCTTGACTTCACTGCTTTGCCTCAGTAAGATCTGCACAATTTAATCCAATGGATTGAACTCTCCGCTTGTACTGGAAGAAAATGAAATATGGCAGTGAACTTGGTGAATGTAAAATAGTAAAAGTAAGTACTTAGTAGAATTAAATTTGATGGGAGTACATTTCCAGTTGGCAAAAGTGTTATTAATTTTAATAAAGTCATAGTGAATCTATATCAAGAGCAGATCTGTTCTGTCTTTACTCTTTATTTTTACTGAGATCAACTTTACAGTGAAAATGTACATCTTCAGAAGTTTTCTGCTCTTGTAGACTACCAGAAAAAAAAAAAAAAACACCTGATTTTACAGTTAGATAACTGTCTACGTACACATGGGTTTTAGCAAATGAGATTATAAAGCTTTATTATCAACATGTGAATTATTGTTGTGGTTCTACCTTAAATTAAATATATGGATATAATGCCTACTAATTTATAAATAAAGAATAAATAAATGTTTACATGTCATGTGAAAAATAGTTATTTTAAAAAGATGCATTTTTTATGACTTCTGTAGTCATAAAAGTAAGCAGTGATATATACTGTTATTGGAATTCTTTTCTCGTTTCTAAAATGCCACTGGAAAAGATTTTCAGTATTTCCTGGGGAAAAAAAATGACATTGTACTTGAAAAGAAAGTAAAAGTTTTAGAAGCAAATACAAATATTTTGATTTTTAATTAAAACACTGTTAGTCAGAAATTGAACCCAATAACAAAAAAGAATAAATTCTTAATTGTTGTCAGCAATTTAAAATAGTGCATTATAGCAACAATTTGTTATTAAAACCAATGCCTACATATGTACAGATGTGCATACAGACAATTTGCATCCCCTGTAATCCAAGTTTATTAAAACGTTTTATTGGTTTATTAACAAAATGAGCTATGCAGTTCAGATAAATATATTTTAAATCTAAATGAAGCCATCAAAAATCTTTTTAAAAGAGCACCTGATCAATGTATTAACTCTACATCCATGGTGCTATTACATGGTTTCCTTCCATACTTATGGATGTCCTTAAGAGCAAAATCCTGAAACACAAATAAATAAATAAATAAAATAAAATGAATTGTTTTTCATCCACGTTAGGCAAAACTGAAATACACAAATTTCCACCAAACAATCCTGAACCAGACCAGTACTCGGACTAGCCTAACATACTGATGTTACAATGGAGTAGTACTTTTTTGAGTTTGGCAGATATGCAAGGTGCCTCTATAACACACATCTCTCAAAGTCACAGCATAGCAGCTGAATAGCTACACTTTATCTTTGATTTCATACAAAAACCTCCTTAACACCCCTAGGAATCTCCTTATTATTATTATTATTATTATTATTTTTAATCTTCAGAAATTTTAACTCTTGACATGTGTCATTTGAAAGGCAGAGAAAAAATAAGAAAGTATCCTACACTTTATGCAATAAAACACACCATTAGCTTTCTGACTGCTGCAGCAAATGCAGCAGCACTTCAATTATGTTGTCTGATGCATCATACAGATGTCTTTCCTGAACATACAGGTTAGAATTCAAGAGCATCTGAGTGGTTATATTTTTCCTGTGAAGCTTCATTATCAAGTAGGTACAAAATATTGTTTAATCTGCCTCTTTGATTTCTCTTAAATTTGACAGTCTTAAATACTTTTATGTTGCTTCCAACTTCTCATTAAGACAAAAATTTCATTTTTATTGTTGTCAGGCACTTTTCTGGTGGGAGGTGTCCTTGTCCCTGCCTATAGCAGAGAGATTGGAACTACATAATTTTATTGGTCCCTTCCAACCCAAACTGTTCTATGATATTATGATTTTTCTGGATCACTAATGAGGATACTGAACACCACCAAGCTCAGTAGAACTTTCATGCACCTTGTTATCAGGACACTTTACTACATGGCAATATATTTCTCTCTGTTTCAGATCAGATGAGCAGGTAATAGAGACAAGAGCTGACTGTGTTCACCTGTTCTGTCTTTCTTTCTAATACACAAAAGTTCCTTCAGTCAATCTCAGTTTATTCCAGCACATTATTTAGACAAGCCTTTTATCTTGATTTTCAGATTTCAGTGATGATGACCATACAATGGCTCTTGGTAAACAGTTCCAAAGGTTAATGAACTTTGGAGTTAAACAAATGGCTATTTATTTCTGCTCTGAATGTATCCAGTTTAAAGTTCCATCCATTTTATTTTATTATTCCTGTGCTTGCAAGTCCTTTACTATTCAGTTCATATTGCTTGTGTGGGTAAGCACAGACTGCTCAGGTCAGTCTTTAAACTCTTTCTGATGAGAAAAAGATGAAGCTCTTTCAATCACTCACTGCTGGACACATTTAACAAACTTTCAATCACTTTCTTTGCTCTTCTTTGAAATTTCTAATTCATTCTCATACCCTTCCTAGTTATCAATATCATTAAACATGACATATCAAGCAGACCTATGCCAAGCACATATGCCTCATATGAGTCTGTAAACCCATATTTGACATCCATGACTTATGCATTCAAGAATCCTTTTGTCCATGGCACTATGTTGGGAATCCAGCTGATTCACCAGTAAATCTTCTGCAGATACCCTGCCTTCCAGAATGCAAAGGTAGGAATGGAGGAACAATGCTATTTTCTTTGCCCAAAATACTCTGATCTATTTCCTTCATCAACTACTTTCAAGGAAGGTAAGAATTCTGATTAAAGAGATAAAATTTGTCTTTACAGTAACTAAGAAGTTACTATGTTTAATCATACCACACTGATTTAATTGTTTTACAGCTTCCTTTAATTATTGCTTCAGCTGATATGACATGCCACATAAAAAGCTATACACCTTGGCTCTCCTTCAGATAAGGGAAGTAAAAATTGAAATGCACTTATAGCTCCAGTTTTCAAATGACAATGTTAAAGCCACTAAGTATAAAACTTAATGCATTTGCTATTTAAAGAGACTCCCCATACTAAGTTCTGAAATAAAATTATTAAAAATATATATATTCTTACCATTATGAACGATAACTCTGTATTTTCTGTCCAAGCAGAGGTCTATCTGCCTTTGTCTAACAATTTTCTGTGCCTCTGGAGGCAATCCCTTGGGGTCCCGGGAAAACACAAAGGAATAGCTATCAGCACAAGTGCCATCTTCATTTAGCTCACGGCAGGAATAATGAAGAGCATATGTATCGTAATCTGTGTCCACTACCCAGTGATCATCATCTGGAAGAAATCATAGCAAAGCAAGGGAGTTACAGAGACACAAATAAAATATAGATCGCTGTCATAATTCCATAACTTTAATACAATAACAAAAGAAATTACAATGAATATTGGTATGAATGGTAGCAAATTAGCTGTTAGTTTATATCTATGTCCAGTATTTGATTCTATGTTCTGAGGGAAAGTTTGTTTGTCTTAAAAATAAGCATATGTGTTAGGGGCTATGATGAAGAGAAGAAGGAAGGGTTGGAACTACTGCTTTTCCTCTAACACAGAACAAGAGCAGCATGATAAAAAGGTAGTAAACATCCTGTAAATCTATGCCTGAAAATTATTATAAAATGAGGCACCAAACACAAAAACAGAACCATATATAAACTACCATGAATATTACAGTTATTTTAACATCCTCCCCCCCCCTTCCCAAAAAAAGGTATGATCAAAATAGTTAATTAAAATAAAAAGAAAAAAGTGCTCTTTATTATGCTAGTTGTGCTCCAAAATAGTCATAAATATTCCCTCCCAGGAATACAACTTAAATTATATATTTAAGGTGAAAGATTAATACAATTGCCATTTGAATGCAGTTCTTTTCCCCATTTCTCCTGTGGGTGGGGCCCACAGTTTTTAAGAACATAGTGCCCGAGGTCAGTCAGCAATCTGAAGTATCCATGAAAACGTGATTCATCAGCATGCTTTGAGGCAATTCAGCAACAATTCAAGAGCAATTGGCAACAAAAGCATTCTTTTTAACTGAGTTTTTGGAGAGAATGGAGCTTCAATCACTTCCAAATTCCATCTGCTGCTCTTGGAAACAATCCATAGAAATGTCTTGAGCTACAAGTAACTGAATGTCTACTTCATCAAGAAACTAATTTTGCATAGAGTGCGAAAGATGACAGGAAAATATGAATATATATTTACTGTATGATATTTGTAAAAAGAGATAAATCTCTGCATTTGCAGATATTAGATTATGCAAAAGAATAGTCATAAAATCCTCTTCCCTACTAGACCAAGTCTGACATTAGGCTTTTCATAGAGAGCAGGAGCATCCAGTAAATGAATTCTGAAATAAAATAAGGCATAAAATAGTACAAAAATACTACATTTACCTTTTATTTCTTCTGAATAGTCACTTTAGATTATATAGTTGGGTAACAATCAAAATAAATATGAAGATATACAAAGGCCTGGTCTTCTCTCGCTTAAAGAGAACCAGCCAGATGTCTCATCAAAAAATAGTGATCACCTTGTTCACATTAAGACTTCGCTATATTATAGTTATTGCACGGTTTAAGGGTTCAAGAAATCCAACACTGCACTTTTCGCCAGCATCAACATACAGCATAATCAGGCTCCCAATTAGCTCCACATCTTCTAGAGTTAATTACTCACTTCCTTTCTGCAGAAAAGAGGCAACACCCCAGTACTTCATCTTGAACTTGGCAGGATCCTCTGTATCAGTGAAAGAGCCAATCATATCAGCACAGACATCCCAGTTACTGTAGCCAGGGAGAAAGAAAATATCATGTTCAAAGCTGACAGCAGACTTGGTGAGACTGTGACTAGCACAAGGATAGCAGGCTGGATTTGATTAAGATCAAGCAAAGCAGAAGGGTAATGAAATAGAACAAGAGGATGATTGCAAATAGCTTACTTGAAGAGTCTGACTCTGCCCTTTGCAGTGGCACTCATCTGTCCATTCTCATCTACAGTGAACTGGGCAACCACATTGTCCTGCAGAAACAGCCCCTCAGGATCTTTTTTTGCCATGGCGTACCAGGTGCCACTGTACTGCAAGGAAAAGAAAACCTGCAGTTAGACCTAGAAGTATGGAAAATATTAGAAACAGACACTGCAAACTGGGGTAGGATGACAGAGGGGATGAAACATAGATCTTTGACACCATGCCTTGAAGTTTATCTATAAAATAAATCTAGTTGTACCAACAGCGTAAGACCACCAGTATGTTCTAGGGCAAACAGAAGAAAGAACTGACTGTTTTTCCTGGCAACTTTTTTCTGTTTGCAGTTTTCTTGTATTGAGAAAAAAATCAGTGGAAGGAAGATTGCTACTGGCAGATCTTGACAGATCTACATATGAATACATCTTCCTTTATAGTTATTCTGAAAACATCACCCATTTTTTGCAGAAAAAAACATTCAGTCACTACACTCCTTTTCTATTTAGATCATAAAAGTTGAAAGCAGTCTGCTAATTTCAGTTTTTGCAGTATTCCTGTATCAGTTGTATCAGGATCCAGTACTGTGAAGGTACAGGCATCAATACACACTTCCACTCTTTTAAAGATTGCAGTCAGAGTGAAAACAAACACACAATGCCAGATTTTGTAGCCCAGGAAGGACTGCTAGACAAGATATGAAAGATTCTGAAGAGAAAGATTTACCCTGTTCTTGTCGAAGTTCTCCTTGACTTTGAAGCTGCTCACACGGCAGTCCCTCTCTGCCATGCTGCTGCCCAGAAAGGCCAATGCCAGCAGCAGCAGAGATCTTCTTGTGTAGGCCATCCTGTCCCTGCAGCAACAGCAAAGAGACAAACAACATCAGAAATGGCTTCCATCAGACACTCGGGGAAGGGAGGAGAGCTGCCCCAACAAGTCCCCAGGGCATTGTGCAGCTTTCCTGATGCACCTGCAAGAAAGGTGCCCAGTTGCCCCCAGCCCACTCCAGCAGATCCCTTACAGACAGTACTGCTCCCGGCAGCCTCAGGAAAGCTCTGTCTTGGTGGCAGTGGCCAGGATGTTCAGACAGGGAATGCTTTATGTAGTCCTGAGGCTTTCGCAACCCCTGAGGAATAAAGCCAGCATTGGAGGGGGAGCAGGGAGGCAGGCTGATGAAGGCTGCAGTCTGGGCCCCATTCACAATAGCCCCTTGCATAACATCCATGGGCTCCAGTGGTCTTTGACCCTTATCTTTAGCCAAGCACCTCTAGGATCAAAAGCAGCTCTGGTTTGACCTAACTCAAAAGGCAGAGCTCTCACTGTGGGGGTAGGGGTGTGCACATATATGTCGAGGACAAAGGGAAGGAGAACCACCCCATCTTCTCACAGTGGGAGAGCCAGTTGCCTCCACCTTCTCTGCTATTGTACACACTGCTGTCCAAAGTCCTTCTTACCCAATATGCTCAACCCAGTCACAAGATGCAGGCTTGTTTCCTCTACCTCCTCCCCAAATTCCTTTCCTCTCTTTCACTGATAAACATAGGAAAACATCATATTTGCAAGTTTCTGCTAACATCTTTGAAATCCTGCTCATTCCAGAGTCACTTCAGATCCCCACGAGGGGTTCCCTCATGTAACCCAAAGGACAATCCAAAGCCACCTCATGCCCAGCTCTTCCACACAGGAGCTGGGGCCCTGCAAAATGTCTGGAAACCAGAACACTTTTATCACTTGAAGGTGATGGGACGTGTGTGTTCTGCAAATATGTGAATGGATGTACACACCACATTTGGCCCCCTTGACAACAACTGTAAATCAGAGCTTCCAGAATTTCTATTTTGTTTTTTTTTTTGACAAACTCAGTTATATAAACCATTATTTTTTTTCTCCAGTCCAAGCAGATTTTGCTGCCTCTCAGTCAATATTTGTACTATAGTTTCAACATCTTTAGGAAGCATTAGAGAAAACCTGTTAATTATTTTCTAGATATGTAACCACAGCAGGAGAGGAATTATCGTTACCAAGAGAACTCATTACCTACTTATTTCACCTCCAGTTTTGAAAGAATAAAGGCAGAATTCTACTAGTTGAGGATCTGTGTTCATTATTTTAAGAATTAAGCAAAAGTATATTTCAAATATGGAGACATCAACGAAACATACAAATATTTCAGTAGTAGCTTCTATACAGAAATAAAGCAGTTTATTCAGCATGATATTTCCCAAAAATGCTCTTTAAGCTTGTATTTGTCTTGCATATTCAAAAAATATCAAAATTTTTACTGTAACTTCCCTTTACAATTTTTTTCACGTGTAATGAAAACAGTGACACAGACCGCTTGGTTTATCTGTTATTCTTTCTTTTCTGCTTTGTATTGGAATCTTGTTGCACAGATAGCAATGTATTTCTGTTCACTTCCTCAAATATCAAATGTCTTCAGCTGCTCTAAAACTACTTTGAAGCCATTGATTCCCTAAATATTGACGGACTCTTTATTATATATAATATTAAACTTCTTTTTGGACTAAAGACCAGATTTAACACAGGAAACCAGGAAAAGTCAATTGATATTGTCTTAAAACTTTCAAGAGTAGTCTTTCAAAAGGCCAATATTTCCATTTTTAAACTGAGATTTCAAGTTTGCTACTTCCCACACAGACTGAGAAGAAACAGAAACCTATAGCTTGAAAGCAGCTTCCAAAACTTCACCCCAGCATCTAGCAATGGTGATGCCATTTATATAGAGAGATTTTTACAAAGCTTTCACAAAACATACTGTAACTTTAATATATGTATTAATCCTATTTACAAGATCAAAATCAATATAGATTTTCTTCTTTTCAGTGTCCCACAACTGATAGTAAAAAAAAAAAAAAAAAAAAAAGCTGATCACATTTAAATTTTCTTTCAAACCAAAGCAAAAATTCTTTCTTAATTCTCTGCCAATTTGGGAAATGTTCTTATTTCTCATAATTTTGTTCTCTTCAAAAACCTGTATACAGCTTTATATTTCCAAAAAGCTTCCTTCAGGATCATATCTGTACCCAAAAACCTTTGTCAATAACAGCATTAGTCATGAAAAATCTATGGTAAATGTTTTCAAAGGACTCTATTGTCCCATATCCAAAAGAATTAAAATTGGAAGAAATTTGGCTGCCTCTGAAAAATCTAGGTCACTTGTCTTATGATACTTACTGCATGCTGTCTGCAACAGACAGGACACCAACCCAAATTTCACCAAAATAAAAATTAACTTCTGCCAATAATTTTTAATAAGATCAGTTCATGTGAGTGAGAAACATCACATTCTCTTAAATTAGTCTGAGGTCTTCAACAAAAGTAAATCAGAAGCATAGTAATTTGTTAGGCATGGCACAGCATTTTTTTTCTTAATTTGTGTACCTCCAATGACCTCTGCAGTATTTGGCAGCTCATCTTGTAATTGTAATTATAACTTAGCTATACTTCCATCTCTGCCCAGTTGAGACACTGTTTACATTAATGAAGTCTTTCTGCAGCTACAGCTAAAGCACTTAGTTGGTTCAATGAGACAAAAGTTGTAGGCAATAAGGCTCCTCTGCTAAGTCAATTACACCCCAATCAACAGTGTAATGCTGGAAGGATGCAAGGTTGCTTGCAGACTACCATCATTATGGCAATTCAAGGGTGAATTTTTTCTCAGTCCTAACAGAGGTAGCTATGCCAGCACAACTATGTAAACAGCGTAAACCTTGCCTTGGTTAATAATCATTTGGATCAACTTGGGAAATGAGTTTGGTTTAGAAATGATGCCAGCAAGTGATCCTCATGCACATCTATGGAAGCTGGATACAGGTCTTGCAGATTTGTACTTCTCATGTAAACAGAAAGGAACAGAATTTGGGCAAGAATTTCAGTTGATTCTGAAATCAACGTGCATAGATCAAATCAGTGACATCAAATGATTGCTAGGTTTTGGGAAAGCAGAGACAATTAAATTTTAAAAATTAAAATATCAGCAACACATAAATATGAGAATAACCTCAAATGTAAAGCATACTTTAAAAAAGCTTGTGGTAAGCTGCCTGGCTTGATAAACTTCATATATGACTTCCCATTCTGATGTTTGAAACTGACAGCATATTTTGAATATTATAGGAAGATTTTTAAAATCAGGTGTGTACTTACTGGAACTGTATTTAATTGAAGAGGAAAGAAACCTCCTACCTTTGAATTTTCCAAGAGGCCAACAAAGGGGTTAGCTTGTGACAGTGATTTTGCAGCTGAAGTATTTTTTTTACATTAATAGACTGTGAATTTCTGTAACATTTTCCATTAGGAATAGCAACAGAAAATGCACAGAAAAGCTGAGATTTTCAACAGAAATGGCAGAAAAAAGCTTTTATTGTAGGAGCTATTTTAGTTTAATCTATGACTGCATAATAAAAAGAAGTATGAGTCTAATTACATTTAAAACATTTTTTCAACTCTGCAACACTGAAGCTTTTAATATTTAGAGAACTAGAATTTTAGTTGAAGTCACAAGGATAAGCCAGTTTTCAGGAAAAAGCTGACTCAGACAACTGGTAGTAAGCAACGGAGTATCCATTTCCAACCAGATTGTGCACCAGTTGCTTCCTGCTGTCTTCCTATGGTTGTTTATTTATAGAGCGCAATACACAAACATGGGTATCCAACAATTTGCAGGGGAATGAATGAGTGCTCTATGCAGTGAATTCAAGTGCAGACACATCATTGTGGAATCAAGCTTACATGAACAAATGACAACAAATGGTGTGAGCTGAGCCAAGGAGCTCGGTGTACTTTGTAGGGACAGCTATGTACACTGTCACCATCACAGTTGTTCCCCTTGGTAGCAGTCTGCGTACAGAGGTCAAGGACAGAATCAAATTGAAAATACTGGCCTTTGTACCACAATAGACTGTGTGCTACGTGTTTTTGTAATTTAGTGATGTGATACTCTGCTTGAAGGAGTTTATTTACACTGGACTCTTTCTAAACTGTATTTAAGCAAACCTAGTTCAAAGTGGTAGCTTTATTCTCCTCACCAAATCTTTGCAGAGATTGTGATTCTGAATCAAAATATTTTTCTAGATGTAGTACTAAGATGAAAATAAACTTGAAACAAAGATGTCCAGATATCTCTGCCAGCATGGTGGCCAATTGATGTGGGAAGGGATGACACCAACAATCCAGAGAGGTGGGTGAACTGATGGTAAGAAAGTGCCATAGGATGGATAGGAGAGCTTTGAAATCAGATATAAGGTCAAAATTAAAGTGTATGCACAGAAATGAAGGAATGCCTACAGGACACTGTTGTGGAGGAGCTCTCAGATCTCTGTGAAATCAGCATGACTGAGCATTTCTCTTACCTACTTGTACACTGACGCATGCAGCACATGGAGCAAGCAGAAGGAATGAGGAATGTTGCAAGGTAGCTCACACAGCTGGAGTGATGGCTGCAAGCTCTGAAGGAAGGCCACGCCAGGGTGGCAAGGAGGGTGAATTATTATTCACATAAGGAAGCAGTGGGGATGGACGTAGCTCTGTCCTGGGACAGATGATGAGCCAGCTGAATGCCTCTGTGTTAGGCTTAGAGGGCAGGCCAGCATGCTGGGTGTGTATCACAGACCATTTTCTTCCAACTACTCTAAGAAGGCTCACTTTTGTTGGCACTTCTCCGCACTGGGAAGGATCACTGATCAATGGCTGATTTCTGATGGAAGGATAACACAGCAAAGCACAAGCAATCCGGGGCAAGGGGGCTGAAGTGTGTTGACTATAATCTCCTGACACACATGACTAAAGAAGCAATGAGAGTAAACACTCTGCTGGACCTGATTCTTACAAATA